ACACGGGCGTTGGAGGAGGAGGCCGCAGACAAGGTGGGAATATGTATATGTGGTGAGAGATGACGCTACTCGAAGTCCAAGTCTGAAGAAAGCTCTGGGAGGTCCACAAACATGAAGTGCATTATTGATTACACTAAAGCTCAAGATTGTACTAACATGCAATAAAAAGAAACAGCAGCGTCACAAGAGCAAGAACAAAAAAGAAGAACAAAATGAAAAAACGCGTGCACCCTATGTTTCATTTTACGTATCTCCTGAACATCTATGGACTAATGAGATAACTGGTCAATCTTAGATACTTGGTAATGTAACTAATAGAAAATAATTTAAGTCACTGGTTAAGGAAGTCAAATAAATCCATACTAACAAAAGCATTAACACAGTCGAAGTTGACACACAATTTAACTCCAAATATTGTCATAATCACCATATATTTTTCTCAGCGAAGATGAGGAAGGAATTTTAAGCAAATAAGACCTTCCCTTTTGTGAAGTTGTAATCACGGTTTGCTTTTGCCTGCTACAGTACGAGGGATGCTAAGATGACCATGTGAAAATCGCTTTTAATATTCCGTAATTCTTGAATTAACTAGAGGTCTTTCTGAGCCCTGTAGACCTTCTTGAAGCTACTAGCTAACCGGGATCGTACCGACATCATACTCGTATGCGTAGAAACTAATCCTTACTCAATTACAAACGAGTGTCGGGCACTGTTGCGGTGAAGCCCAGAGACCCGCTGAGGACCAGATGTTCAGTCTCGGAGAGGGGGGGCGGGGGCGGGGGGGGGGCGTATCCAACCCGTCCACTACTCCCCCCTTGACAGCAACGATGTAGTACCACTGAAAGTGGGCTTTCGGGGATGGTTTCTAGTACCCTTCTGTATTCAGGAGTGAGAACCCAATTGCGCACGTGAGGGTGATTATGGAAGGGTGAATGACTATTATGAATCAATGATTATGATGGAATAATGTTCATATATAATACTTGGTGGCATAAAGGGTCAAGAACGCCATAAAAATAACTTCCAGCTGTGAAAGCAGATGAAACGTACCGGAAAACATTTAATCGAAAGAGGAATTTTGATAGCCTAGCTCAATGATGAAGGTGCGTTTTGCTGATATGTTGTTTATAATCAGTCATACACGTTTAATGTAGCTGATATTTCATTAGCACATTGCGACCAAAATTAAATTAAAATTGGCCTTCCACATAAACTTGCACTTCATGAAGACGCATTCATATTCGGGTGCTGTATTTGATCCGTCGCGACCAATGAAGCTCACGAAGTGGCAGATGCGATGATCCCACGCGATTGGGTGAATCGGCGCGTCAAACGCGCGGGGGCGGCGGAGGGGAGCAGGCTAGGGTGGGCGGCCGATGTATGCGCAGGGGCGAGGGTCCTGCCTGCGGCGAGGGGCCGCCCCGAGAGGTACATCAAGGAAGGACCTAATAGAGGATTTGGCCGCGGAGACATAATAGGCTGGGTGTGCCCAAGGCGGAGTTCCACAGATTAACGCTACGACGAGTTTAATTTACTCCGTACTTTTTGTGTTGACGTAAACTAGTTACAATCTCCGATCACGTAAGTTATTTTTATGTTAAATTAGTTATATTTTATAATTGAGGAGTTGGGCAGTTACAAATTATACTTTTTTTTCTTAACTAGATACTTGAAATTGTTTCACGAGTAACATGTTTTGCAAGGTGGGGTTTTCCTAGAGGTGGGAGAAAGTAGGTATGTTTTATTGGAGTTCTTGAAATTGCGCATTCTATAAGTATGTATTCTAGAAGCGAGTATCATTTTATTTTAAGCCCCGAGAAAATAAAAAAGCATATAATTGATCGCTGAACACAATTTGTATATACTAAACAGTTATCTCTAGAGAGAAGCGATTTTTTTTAATTAATAAATTTATTAAAGATTAAAGATCTGTACGCTCCCTATTGTCTATATATAGTCCTCTCAGAACATAGGTCCATGTCTGCACTGTCATTACGAGGAGAGAATTACACTTTCACTTATAACACTTAAATTTTCGCATGAATTTCCTAGTTAAACGAGTCACATGCCTCACCAGTTTACCAGTGAATCGGGGCGGTTTAAAACGCGCGCTTCATAACAGGACGGAAGTGTCTAAAATTATCTAGAGTTGTCCAGAGTAGGATTTAGATGTCGTGACCCCACATTTAGTAAAAGCGTTCTTTTGGTAAGAAGCAAGCGTGATTGTAATATGGAGTGTGGAATTTCGCAATGTCGGAATGTCAACGGACAAAGCGATTTGAGTCCACGGCGACACGAAATTTAAAAAACAAAACTCTCCGCAGTCATAAGATAGAGGTAACTAAATAGGTTTATAGATGAATTATACACTTTAGAAGTAGTTACTTAAAAGAAACTTGTGAAAAGTGAAAATATAGAAAATAGTTGAAAGGTAGAAGCACGGAATAAAACTTACACTTGGGTGTTTTCCTTTCAGTTTCTTTATGTAGATTATTCTCTTTGTCTTAACCGACGAGTTGAACAGCCAAAAGCACTACTTATATGTATGCATAAGCGGAGCAGTGTGCTACTCGTTTGCACATTACGACAACCGTGGACGGAGGCAAAACAGTCGGATGCGAGCTGAAGGCCACCGAACGGTAGCAGGGGCGAGCGGCATTCTGCGTTGCAGTTCGCACACCACAGACATCTTGTGAAGAATAATTGTGATTGTAATACAAGTAGGAACGTTCCAATGGGAGTTTATTTATTTTAATTCTCTGTGGAATTCTTAAAGGAATTAAACGAATAGCAGAACGTGCTAGTAGCTACAGTCTGTTGAATTGAGGAAATACTTGAATCAATCTTTCTTTAGAAAAAAAAAAAAATAAAGGAAAGGTGTAGTGTAAAGCAAAGATAGTGGTTTTCAATGAAAAACAATATGTAAAATAGTAATTTCTAAAATAGTAACACCAAAAATTTTGTCTTCTCGGAAGTGATATTTATGTGTTTTGAGAAATAGAAAATATATGAATTAATAAATGTTGTGCTCTACAACTTTTTTTTTAGGTACTTTAGTCGGAAATTTTGTAAACGTTTGATTTATTAAGTTTTAATTTCAAACTTAATTGATTTCCAAAATTATAATTTTGTTGTTAGCCCATATAATGAAATGATTGTAGATGCCAACATTTTTTCATGTTTTGCACTGAAATTTTCAGTGAATATTTATTGGTTCCTGAAAAAATCTCCATTTATACGCAAAAATGTTTTGAGATTCGGTCATTTTTAAAAACTTTCAACACATCATAAAGAAAAACTTACCTTTTCTGTCTAGACAGATGCCCAGAATCTATCGTACGCATATTGTTCACCCTCACCTTATTTCATTTCTTCCATTCTGTGGTTAATTTTCTCTTATGGCTTTACCATAATAGATTTGTAGCAAATCATTTTTTTTTTTCGTTAACCTTCCTCTCCCTCTCAAAATTTCCCTATCTTCCAGAAGCACTTCCTCTTTCTGTTTCACTTGTCTGCAAAGCATCCTCCAACCCTTTTCTGGACATGACCTATGCAGTCTAACGTCTGAATATGGCAGTTACATGGATTGGTCCCCAAAACACTTTTGAATGAAAATTGCTCCTGACATCGAATGAACATTGTGACAACTGAATTAAATTTCTTTTTCTTATACACTCTTAACTGACCACCCCATAGTAAACAACAAACCCACGAGTGGTAACATTACATGCCATGCAGTGTTTACAAAAATAAAATCGAAGAAGAGAGAGGGAGGGAGAGAGAAAGGGAGGGAAAGAGAATACCTAACTCAGATGCATCCAAATTCTACGAAAAGAAGAGCTTTTTACAAGAGCTACTAGTTTAGTCGGAAATGTGATGTGTATAAAACAAAATTTCATACTTTCGATAACGTGAATCCTTAGTTAGGGAATGAAAAATATTATTGGATTTATCGACTTAGGATCGTGCAATTTCAAAGGTGCATGCTAAATATTCCCATGTCAGCGCATACTCGGATCTCCGACGCAGCAATACCTTTTCAATGCAGATGAAGGTTCAGCACTGAGCTAACATGTTTAGCACAAAGCCCCAACGCGAGCCCCGTAACGACATCACCTCCGTCGCCGAGCAGACCTAACACGGTCACCCGCCAGCGCCAGACACCGGGGTCGAGACGAGACTTGTGGAGGAACCCACCCCCGCCGTCGGCTGCACGGCTTTCCGCGCCGCCTGCCGTAACTCCGAACAGCCTCTGCACCCCGGCGTCCGCCACCCCCGCAGCCGTCCAGGCGTAGCCGCACATCGCCGCGTTGCAGCTGTCACTGCTTCCTCCGCCCACGTCTCTCCGTTCACCTCCTCCTTCCCTGCACCTTCCGGCCAGCCATGGAGGCCGCGTGGTCTGGGGCGCGCGGCGAAGGGGTGGGGCGCCTCGGAAGCGCGGGCTCCGCTGGTCGGGTCGTAACCCGCGCGGGCGCAGGTCGCGTCCGGCCCTATGCAAATGCGGCTGCCCATAACCGCGTGATGGCAGCGGAGCAGCGCGGCAGCGGCAGGTGTCCCGCGCCAACTCTGCCCCGCACGCCCCGCCGCACGCCCGCCCCGCTACGCTCCGCCCCGCTGCGCTCCGTCGGCGCCGCCAGCGGCAGCCTTGCCCCGTTCGACCCACCCTGTCTCGCTCCTGCAGCCCGTCCTGTCCGCTTCGTCCGTCCGCCATGCCCAATTCCCGGGCTGTCCCCGCCCTGCAATGGTACTGCCCGTCACCAGATCTGAGGGGGGATCTGCCCCTCCTCGCCCCACCGCTACACCTTACCTCACCTCGCCCCCCGACGCCCTACCCATCCTCACCCTCACATTGCTCCGCCCCGCCTCTCCCCACTCGGATCGACCCTGCCCGGCGTTTTCCGCCACCCTGCCTCGCCTCGTCTCGTCTGGCTCTGCCTCACCTCATGCTTACCCACCCGCCTGGCCCCGCCCACCCCGCAATTGCACTACCGGCCGCCAGGATGCGCCCGGCGCACCGGGGCTTCCCGAGACTGGGCACGGAGCGGCCCTTCGGTAAATTGAAAGTATTAAGAGGCGGCGCCGCGAGGCACTCCGGCGGAGAGGTGGTGGCGCTCGGGCGCCTTAACATTCCTCGTTCGCCCTCGGCAGCGCGCGTGGACGCGGCGCGCGACTCTTTACGGCCCGCGCCGCGGGGAGGGCTGCCACGCTCGCCTCATTTGCATGATGGCGGTGTTTCTGTTTGTAATGTGGAAGAAGCGTGGGACAGGCTGGGGGAAATGTCGGTCCCTTAGCTGTACGTTTTTTATCCTGTATTTTTTGTGTTTCAGAACGTAATCCAATTACAAGCTTGCACCTTCTTATCGATTTTCACTCGACCGACGACAGCATCTTAACAGAATGGCGTGTCGCCTGGTTCTCGAGAGTGAAAAATGTAGAACATTTATTTTTTGTGGATGATTGGAGACAGTGTTGAGAGAGGAAGTGAAAAACGAAAACATAAAAATAAACATGTGAAAGTAAAAGCTCATTTAAATCCAAATATTTTACATTGTTGAATGAATTCAACAATAAAATGCAGTAATTTATATGCTATAAAAACTATTAACTAAACTACCCCTCTTATCTACGCATTGCATTTGCAAAATATGTTTGGTGAAAATAAATTGATAAAGCCTACATCAAAATACCCTTTTAATACGTCTTTGGAAGAAACACATAATTTTCTGAATCTCGACACTGAAATTGAAAATTCAAATAATAATGAAACGATTGTTCCGCCCGGCCTTTTTTCACATACTCTGTACCTTGCATCCCGGATAAATGATATGTTTCTCTCCTTATTAAAATTACAGAGAATACATTCTAAGAAGTAGACATTATCCTCACAGAACCGTAACAAATGTTAATAAAAACTTTTTTGGGTCACACAAGTAGATTTTAGTTTATGGCATGGGTAAGACTAAAGTAGTATGGAGCATAATGAAATAATATTCCGAATATAAATAACGTTTTCCGAAATGCTAGTCAACTCACTTTTCCTTATCTTGACAGATAAGAAGTTTACATACTTAGCTTATTCCAATAATACATTTGAATAAACTCGAAAACCATTTCTCTGAAATAAATTTTCACGGAACGTCAATAATATTGGTAAAATCAGAAAGGAACGAAATTGACTAGAAACAAACTCTTAGAGTTTGCACTTGATTTTTGAGCGACCTCAAATTCTCAAATTTTCGTATCAGAGACGTAGAGCGGCAAGTTGGAAAGATATTGCTTATGAAAAACATTCTTACTTGATCTTAATGTCAGATGAAAACTTTTTTAGAATGTTCTAGAACTCGCAGTTTATGCTTCTAGTATTCGTTATTATTGTGTAGAAAACAATTATTAATACAAAAATACCAGCAGGGTATGTGAAGTGTAAAATATAAAGTGTTACCGAATAGCAACAAGTACCGACATTTGGGTTAATACTCAAAGATTTAAAAATGTGCATATAGCGCATGAAATAAATGAGAACATTTAAAAATTGGTAACAGGTAAAAAAACTGAAAAAAAAACACTCATTACGGAAGTGGACAATGTGATTTGTAATTCGTTCCGTCAGTTGCTTTATATTTGACAGAAAAGGGAATATACTATCGCTGATAAGAAAATTCAGACTTAATTCTGAAAATAAATGCTGTAATTCTCGTGTTCATGAGTACCTTCATTATTTTCAACATATCGAATATTCCTTGCTGCGCATTGCAAATCGTTTCAATAATTTAGAATATCCTAAAGTAGTAGTAGTATGAATTCCCGCACTACATCCCGCAGTCCTAGCGTTCACGTGCGTCCTTCATCGAGCAGGAAGGGCATTCGTGCTAGGACGGTCGGACGATGTGGTGAGGGTAAGTGTGTGGGCGAGGCGGCGAGCGGGACTGGGGCGAGAAGCCTCCGGAGGCAGCAAATAAACAAAGCGCTATGCAAGGAGCACTTTTGCCAAGCAATAATGAGCCGGATAAACTAGCCGGCGACAAGCCATGAGACTAGCATTCGCATTGTTCCAACAGAGCGCGGCCGGGTCGCCACCGCCTCTCTCCCTGACCCTGCTGCCATCCCGCCGCACCACCACCACCACCACCGTTTCGCTGTCTTCCAACCGCTGCTGGGCAAACTCGCTTCTCCACACGCGTGCAACTCCTCTCACAGTGCCGCTTGCAGGCTTGCTTCAAGATCAGACTCAACTCGTCTGCCTTCTCAATCCTGCCCTACAAATAGTTCTGGTATGCCCAGTAGCTCCATGCCTGCATTTAGCCTACTCGCCCACTCTACTTCTAGCCCGCCCACTTCACGTCCATCCAACACTTAGCGCGTCTAGTCAACCCACTTTGCGTCTAGTTCAGCCACTTGGCGCCTAGGGATCGTACTCCGCGTCTACCCCTCTCCATACCGTCAAGCCCACCCACTCCATGCTGTTATTTCCCCTGTGCATATTCCCTCCTGAGTCACTTACTACGACCCAGTTATCTCAGCCCTTCGAAGATTTCCCACAACCAATGCTTCTTTCATAATTTAAATCACCCTGACCATGCTAGATTGATCATAACATATCATTCCCTGATTTTTACTTCGACTTCGATTCTTGCCTATTCCCACACTCCGGCAACTCTCCTAGTTCAGGCACGTACAGCAACTCACGTAATTCTGACACGTTTAACAGATTCGTCAAATTTTAGCGTGCAACTCATTACGATTCCTCATGTATCTGCTGACCTTACTACTTCACCATTCTCCCACTCTTCACGTTATATCTCGACCCCGAGCACTGACCATCTTTCACAATCCTCTCCGACCTTCGTGCTGCACGAGGCTCACCCAACCCACATGTGCGTCCTCGAAGTATATCGCTGCTGCTCTCTCGTCATCCCCGAACGCCCGCACTCCGACCGCCGCCGCCGCTCACGCCGCCGCCACCGCTTTCAGATTTCCGAGCACGACTCCGCCTCCTCTTCCTCTCGCCTCCCCCTGTCCGCCCACGCCTCTCCACAGAGGGCGCCGCGGCCGGCAGGCAGGCGCACGGGCCGCGCCCTTCCATTGTCTGCAGACAAAAGCCTGTCGGCGGGCGCGCCAGAACTCGATTAATGAATTAAGACGGTGGGCGACGACCAGAAACCGATCCTCCGCGAACTTCCTCGACAAGTTAGCGAATTTCTTCCGACACAGTGCGGAGGCAGCGGCGCAGGCGCCCGCGGAGAATCTTCCGCCCCGCCACGCTACGCCACGCCGCACCGGGCCACGCCCCTTCGACCCGCTCGCGACGCCCTGGAGCGGAGCGAGGGAGAGGAGCGGGGGGGGGGGGACGAACTGAAATGTATCCTCTGAAGGCTGTCGAGCGGGAAGTACAGGCTCGCTATCAACCCCAGACGGAGAAATATGAATTGTAGGTTGTTAACGATATCAATTTTATAATGGGATATAGTTTTATATTAGGGGGTTCCTATTAAACTAGCCTTATATGATATACTTACAGTCTGTACTTAGTTTTAGTCTTATATTTACTAAATAATTCTGCATATATACATATTTACATCGGTTAGCAGACTCGAAACTTAGAAAAAAGTAATTATTAAACGAAGAACATTTTTTTAAAAGAAAAGAAAGTAGGAAGAAAATAATAAAGGAAATTAATAATAATACACTAACACACAAAACATAGATAGAAAATTTAAATTGACTTTGAGCTAGGCTCTTGGAATAAATAATGAACTGATCTTTAAAGTCTGACAGCTCTACTTCCGCTGACTCTTGCTGAGCGTCACTGACTTTTTCCCACACACGCACTGACTTTAATGTTTGTCCAGTATGATTTCCGTTCGCATATGCAGTTGTTAAACGTAAATAATTTACTTAACACTGATATGTAACGTAATCATACGAAAAGCAAACGTAATACACGTATTACAAACAATCCTAGTATTCAAAATTAGATTTAAAAAGCATTTCCTAAGCAGTTCGACGTTAGTCACAGCTAATAATTAAAGCTTTATAGCTTCATCATATGTATGCTATTTATAAACCAATGTATTACATAGTTTTTAATAAATAATTTCAGCGAAAGCAGCAGACATGTTGTGATATTCCATGGACATAAATGAAGAAATGTTCTAACTACAATAATTTAGAGTGTCAACATTTATAAAAACATTTAACACTAAAAGTTAACTTTTGGGAACACTTTACCAAACTTTAGTTGATCTATTCATCTCGTTTGACAATAAAAACGAAAAATTATGTAAGTACATCAAGGTTTGGGAGTACACAAAGAATTAAAACTAATGTATTGGAATGTCACAACAATAAGAGAAACTTATTTAAGGAAAACCTTTTGTAGTTAATGTTGAAATAAAGTCTATGATATGTAGATTACAAAATAATAATATCTCGGGATCACCATGAATTGAGATGAAGTGTTCCTCATGAAGCTGGGTAAATTCTTTGATGCGTTACTAAGTTTATGAGTTGGGTTTTATGACTGTGCACACATGCAAACAATAAACTTAAAAAAAATATTTTTACTACGTTAAACTATGAAGCTACCCTGATGTCAGGATAATTAATTTACGTGATAAACTACAAAAAATCTTAAATATTTCTTTTAATTTTTAGTTTGATTAGTTTCACGTTTAATTGAGGTAAATTTTCAAATTACTCTATATTTTTTCCAAATATTGTACTATCAATTATTTATTTCTTATTTAAACTTCGTGGCGTCATCGGTAACTAACTGTACTTTTTCTCTTCTGTTTCACCCGTCCACCTTAATGAACTCCGATTCACATTTTCTATTGATTGATGTTTCCGTACGCGTCAACGTCTCACACTTCGCTTCGAGTCGTCGCGGGGTCCACATCGCACTCAGCTCTCTTCCGATCAGTGAAGTGTCTGCCGATTTGGCTTGTTTAAGTTATTCTTCGTGTATAACGTTATTTCATCAACTGGAGTGTGCTACCAAATACAGCACTAAATTCATAAACCATTGAAAGTAATTTCGTAGCCAGCAACCCTGGCCTAGGGCAAAGCATAGCCGAGGTCATGGCCGCTCTGTATAATCCAGACTGCGCCGTGGACACCACTATCATCACGACGCCTCCATCCCATGGTGAACATCAAAGTGGTGCTACACAACAAGGCAACATTGGTCTTCAATATGCCATTCTCAATCCGCCGCGCGTGGGAGTCCA